TGTCAGACAGACATGTTCACCTTACAATTATTCGTTACATGAAAAGGAGTTGACCTATTCAGATGCAGATCCAGGATTTTGATAAAGAGGGGACTGCCGGCAAAGTTTGAAGTGGAACAGGTAAAAAGTAAGGATTAACCATAAATGAAGCTCCATAAGGGGCCCTCCTAAATCAACCTCTATTATTGCTTATGGTAATTGAAAAAGCAGACCAAAACACAAAAACTTAACATTCACTAATGAACCATTAAAATGAGGTCAAGGTCAGATTATACCTACCAGACAGACATGTACACCTTACAATCATTCCATACAACAAATATTGTTGACCTACTGCTTATAGTATTTGAACAACAGGCAAAAACCACACATTGACCAATGAACCAAGAAAATGAGGTCAAGGTCACATTATACCTGCCAAACATATATGAACACCTTACAATTATTCAATACACCAAATATAGTTTACCTACTATTTATAGTACTTGAAAAACAGACCAAAACAGAAAAACTTAACATTGACCAATCATGGGGTCAAGGTCAGATGATACCTGCCAGACTGAAATGTACCCTTTACAACCATTCTATACATCACATATAGTTGACCTACTGATTATAGTATCTGAGTTACAGACCTTATCAAGTAACTTTAACCTTGATCACTGATCTATGAAATTAGGTCAAGGTCAGGTGAATCCTGTCTGAAGGACATGTAGAAGTTGCAAGGAACCCATATATACCTAATATAGTTATCCTATTACTCATAATAAGTGAGAAATTCTCATGAAAAAAAAACAATATTTTTTTTCAAACAGTCGCTGAACGATGAAAATGAGGTCAAGGACAATGGACATGTGACAGACAGAAACGTAGTAACATAATGTATCTGCAAACAAGGTATGAAGCATCCACCTGTCTTTTACCTTCTGAAATATAAAGCTTTATACAAATAGTTTACAGCCGCTGCTGGATAGAAATCCTTATGTCTCACATACTGCGACATACGAGACAAAAAACATATCAATAGTCTGTATCCACTGCCCTGCCAACCTTCGTCTATTTCAAGTTTTCAACCCCCTACTTGTGTTTCAAATACAATATGTACTGAGATCACTTGAATTCCCTACCCAATTTACATTTACCCTGCAGAATACAACAGAGTGGTCAAAAGTTTATCTTTATGTACTGCTGCCTAAGACAAGAAATCAAGACATCATTTCTAACTATCCAAGGAAACACAATAATACTGAAGTATGTCTGATATAATTAATGATTTTTACATAATCTGTTTACTATACTTGTTATAATTTCTCAATTTTTAAAAACAAGTTCACAAGATATAACATGGTTAATCAATTGACTATATCTAAAATATTTTATCCTACCCTATGTTGTCCAAATACATTAGTGAGGGACACATAGATTTATCACTCTTTATGTGAAAGCTATATTATTTCAATAGGTATAATATGGTCTTTTCATGAGTGTTTTTCAACTTATTAGATTTTAGTAAGAATTATAATGCAGTAAACCATATATCATTTATAATACTGATCCATTAGTATACTCCTTCATGGATATATTTCAATTAAAGATAAAAAAGAAAGATATACAACCATCAGACAAATTCAAAGATCCTGTATTTTGAAAGTAATAAATTTTAAAACATTTAAATTATAAATCTTAATCATTCTATTAATTCTAACTTTCATTGAAATTGTGGACAAAGTCATTTTAAAGTACTATTCAAACCTGATTTAGCAAAGTGTTATATATATATATATATATATCAATACTAAAAATGTTTGTTAATCTCAATCCATCTTTGCAGCATACTGTGACCTTTTCTCAGAGGTTAATATTCCTTTACTGCATGAGTGTGCATTATATGTAAATGGACAAACTTGAACCTCAATCTATAATATTTATGTGTGGTAAGAATTTCTAATTTCATTCCAAAAGGATAAGGTATAAAGGCCACTTTTTTGGCCCATTTAAAGTAATACGAATCTATCAAATAATATCCTTCAGATATTTTCTCCACATAAAAGTCTGGCAGACATTAGTTGTAATATAATATATTTTTTTTAAGAAAAAATTCCAAAAATCTGTCCAAATAGTTTTTTTTATCTTGGTTAATTTATATGTTTCAGAGTTTAGTGTGGGGCCCATTTCGCTGAACTAGTATACATTATTGTTTAGGGACCAACTGAAGCCCACCTCCGGGTAGGGGATTTTCTCGCCCTATTGGTGGCCTTGGGCTGTTTTCTGCTCTTTTGTCGGGTTGTTGTCTCAATGACACATTCCCTGTTTCCATTCTCTATTCTATCAATAGAAATCTTGACATTAATTTTCAGATATGATCCACAGTCTTACCTAAAAACATATTTTGCTACAAAATGTCTGATACAGAGATGACATAGGTGTAAACTTTGTAAACCTCCAAAGTGGGAGATACCCCTCTGACAAAACCATACCTGTCAACTCAACCGATTTTTGTAGGTCACACCTGGGAATTTAAGGGCTCCCCAAAGAATTTTCAATACCCACCCTTGTCATCAAATAACCTTGGATTTCGGCATGTGACCTGTCATGACCTGCATTTTTCAGAAGTTGACAGGTATGCAAAACTGTTTCTCAGAAGTGATCCACACGTGTAAAGGAGTAGGCCCAGTAAGACCCTTTTTTGGCCCCAAAATATAGCAGTTTTACAAAATTGTTTAAATGTAAATTTTTAGCTATTAATTGGAAAGAAGAAATACTTCTGTTAAATGAATATGGGCAGTTTTTGACAATACAATGCACATGTAACGGGTACTAGCATCATTAAGTCATGCTAAATTATTGAAATCTTCGAAATTTTAGCATTTTGGTTAATTTTTAGACGGTTTCCGCCTGAAATGGAAGTGGCCGCATTTGTGTTCATTCTTAATATTTAAATGTAAGTTGTATTTGATGATAATACATAACATATATAAAGATTGAGAATGAACACGGATGCGGCCACTTTCATTTTTGACAAAAACCATCTGAAAAGTGACATATTATGGCATATTTGATAGATTTTTCATATTTAAGCTTGAATTTGAGCATCTTTAATGACTAAATCAGTTCAAATCTTTCACATAAACTAATTGAATCGACTGAGGTAGACACTTAAGTGTTTAAAAAGTGTCCAAAATCTTTCATCAGATGAATCTGAATTTTGAGGCCAAAATCGGCCCTTACCGGACCTACTCCTTTAGGCAAACGTTATTTTAGCTCTCAGGTATTATTCCAGATCTGATTTATTTGTAAAAACGTGGCATTTGTCATCTATCATGACTCTTATTCTGAGAAAGTTCTGCTTTTACAGGATGAATTCTGAGATATTTTTTTCGCATATATTATACAGCCTATTGAAATGACTGAAATATTAATTTTAATACCGTACTTAAAATAACCCTCACAAAAAAGAAAACATTTCAACATTCTGACTACGGTATCTTTTTTCTCTCTTTTCTGTACCACAATCTTACAATGCAATTCAAGGAATCCTGCCTTTTGGGGAAAATGATAAGAAAGAATTGTCTCTTGCACAGGCATAGCACACAGATCTGGAGAATCTGGAATTAATAACCAAATGAATACATGGATCATCCCATCAAAATCAGGCGAATAAGTGAGTACAATTATCTAGTTGGGTATTCAAGCAGTCACTGTACCATGAAAATGAGGTCAATGACTGTGAATGGATATATGACAGACAGAAACTTCATAACATAATGTATCTGTATACAAGGTATGAAGCATCCAGGTCTTCTACCTTCTGAAATACAAAGCTTTATATAAATAGTTTACACCTTCTTCTTATTGTCATCCCTCATAATGTCTCGTATTCTGTGAATTTCTTAGCAGGCGAGACAAAAACACATAACAGTCACATACAATGCTTACTCGAAGCGTAGTACCCGGATTCAGTTTACAGAGACTTGGACAAAAACTGAATTGTAATAACTTAAACACTGGAATCATTGGTTTGCTGGATAATGATTTTGTTTTATCTAAGAGATCATTCAGCCTAGCTAGATATGTCAGAAAATTACAAAGCATCAAGGCATTGGCATAACAAATTCTTGACTTAAACAAAATATGCCAAATACAGACTTGCATTTATTATACATGTAACATGTATTATTGATTCTCATCAATGGATTTAACAAAACGATAACTCCAATCTATAGTACCTTACACCATTCAAAGACCATAAAACTTATAAATTCCAATATCATATCTAAAACTAATCGATTAATCTACTAGTCCCAGATTTTAAAAAATACTAAAAAAGTAATAAAGGTCAACAATTTGAAATAAAGTTATTCAGCTTTACTACTGAACCAAATCCACTATACATATGACAAAAATAAAATTAGAACCTGAATATTTATATCTTGATGCTTCAACTGAAGAGGGTTACACAAGTTTTATCTTCAATCTTTCTGTTATCAATTATTTTTTTACATTAAGCAAGCTGACATATTTAGATATTACAAAGTACAACAGTTTTCTAATACCAACAAATTAACTTACCTGTTGAGAAAAACAGCTGATCATTAGAAATCAACATCACTGAGAGTTTACCTGTAACCATTTACAAACACATCACCTATAATTCATGGTCACAATGATTTGTAACTATACATTTATTATCAGTTCAGCTACCCAGCAAGTCTTAATATTATCACTATAGTAAACTATCTCACTAAATCTTTATATTATTATCCTTATTATAGACTTTAGTAGAAATCTATATGATATAAATATTGGTGTAATATTATCAATAACCACCTACAAGAAATCATGTTATCCACTATACCGATCGTTGGATTAGAGTATCCATTTAAAAATGGTCATTTACGACCAAGGAGAAAATCTCTACTCGATTAAAAACTGATATTTATGTTGACTATTTATTATAAGACTTATGATCAATAGCAAGCGTTCAGGTGTATAATTTTACCTTTTCTTTCATTCTATCTGTAATTCAATCAAAATTGTCTATATCTAAAATTAACCATTCTCTATTGTAGAAACTTCATTGTTAATTCTTAGTACCCTTTACTACTCAGGAGTAACCTTAACCCAAAAAATAAAAATAAGCAAATTAAAAATAAGCTTTGTAACACAAGAAAACATTCATAATTTGGTAAACAATATATACCTCTTTATTACATTAATAACAATCTATATTTTTAAAATTTTAAATGTACTTCTTTATTGTGATTTCAATCTGGTATTTTGTACAATTTGAATGATTAAACTGAATACTGTTAGATATAGACCAAAACTCTTATTCTGCATGTTTTTATCAAACCTTTGAGGAGTAGGTTTACTAAGTGTTATAATTGGCCCTTAAATTCCATGAAACTTAACATTAGTAACAACAGAAAACATTGTATGAAAAAATCTGTGAAAATATCTGACAAATACAAAATCAACAAGCTCTGAGCATTGCAACAGTAACCTTATAACTTCATAAATGTGCACTTATGCTGAAAATCACAATTTTGACTATTTTTTGGCAAACTTTGATAATTGCTGCTTCAGAAGACATTCATGCCAGGACAACAATAATTATTTGGTAAGATGTTGTATCTCACCCATATACATCCATATACATCTTTTTATAACAAAGTAGTATTAGTTCACGAAGGGTTAAAATTGGTCCTAAGCTTTTGATGATATTGATGATCAGGCCAAAATACTACAAATTTCACATAGAAATAGTTGTGATATTACTATCAATACAAAAAAAACTTCATATTGGCACATCACATTAAAAATGACGAAGTAGTGACTTCATAGGTACTGTAAATTCATAAATTATTGAGTGCATTTATTAATGCGAATTTTGCAGAATGGACAAAAATGCGAGATTAATTATTGCGATTTGTGGAAAAGTTGCATACAGATATAAGAATGCGAGTTGTTATTATTGCGATTCTCACCCAGTCGCATTATTCGCAATATTAAAAACCTCGCAATAATTTCTGAATTCACAGTATGCATTATTTGTGTTGTAACGTCAGTTTTTGTCAAATTTTCAATAATTCTAAACAGTTTTTAGCATAATTTACTTTGGCCTCCACCCATGATCCAGAAAGTTTTTGTGTCTAGGTATCCAATATCATAATAGTCAACTTTTGGTTACAGAACATTTTGGATCCTAAATTGTAGCCAAGAGTTTCCTCAAGCTAATAGTCAGAAAAAAGTGCAAAATCATCGTATTTTCACAATGAATCCTAAAGTGCTGATTTTGAAGCCAAGAATATACTCTTATGAAGAGATTTATTTTAACAAAGAACTAAGGCTTTTGAAATAGATTCATTTAGAACCAAATTATGGCTTTTTAGATCAAATGGAATAGCAATTGTTGTTACGAAGGAAATGATACCTTAAAATGCATTTAAACATGAAATCATGACTAAAACCTATTAAAGTTTCACATTCTCGAAGCTGTTAGCATTGTCTTAAACATACAGTAGACAACAAAATGTGTCTAGTATATCTAAATTAAATTAGACTTAATTTAATTTGCATATATTGAGATTGTAAATAGTGGTTTTTATATCGAATCACAAAGTCTATTTTTGAGGGCCAAAGGAGATGGGATCAGGCCACTTTTTTGGCCCCTTGAATTTGAAAATCAAAATGTATAATAAATCTACAAAGCTATGATGATGAGACATATGTCTGTCAGATTTCAGTATTTTTATTTTTGAATTTTAGTGCAAAATTGCATAAACTGACAAAATAATAGCCTCATTTTGAGATCTTGTCAATAACATTTAGATATGAGCACCAGCTTAACCAAAAAAGATATTTTACTACAAGATTCATTTTACACAGATGCAAACTGTGTAAAATAACTTTTGGGGTAAGGCTGTTGCTCATATTTGGTTTGTCCAAAACTATATGTTCAGTCATCATTTTAGGTCAAATGTCAATTTGAACATGAGTTATGACACATGACAAGAAGAGCTCCAGATTAGAATTTATAATTTGGGGTTTTTACCCACCATTATTTATGAAATTGAGTGAAATATTTTTTTCATATACATCATCAATTCAAATTCACCCCTCAGACAAAGAACAAATTAGGTTTTACACCACCAAGCTCCTTAATATTTTGGGTTTTCACCACCAAGCTCCTTTATATTTTGGGTTTTCACCACCAAGCTCCTTAATATTTTGGGTTTTCACCACCAAGCTCATTAATATTTTGGGTTTTCACCACCAAGCTCCTTAATATTTTGGGTTTTCACCACCAAGCTCCTTAATATTTTGGGTTTTCACCACCAAGCTCCTTAATATTTTGGGTTTTCACCACCAAGCTCCTTAATATTTTGGGTTTTACACCACCAAGCTCCTTAATATTTTGGGTTTTCACCACCAAGCTCCTTAATATTTTGGGTTTTACACCACAACTGGATGTATTGGTTTTATTTATCATTGATTTATTGATAGGAGACATCTTATTAATTATGTCACAAATCAAAATGGTCAACAACTGTTATCTTGAATAAATTTCATACAAGAATATATATATGCTATTTTTTTATTTTATTATTATACTCTGATGAGCAAGTCATTTTATAGTCTGGTTTGTTTAAACATTCATGTCAGTTTTGTATTTGAAAGACCAACTGGTACTATAGATAACATTACATAGTGATTGAAGACCAAAGCAGAAACTGATCCAAAGTGAACAAGGTAAACACAGAAGAAGCGACTGTCATATTCACATGTACATGTACTGAACAAAAAATATATTTCAGGCGACAACAATTAATCTGTTAGGGTAAATTATACACTCAACAGCAGCTAGATGGATTGAGAACACATAGTTTTGACGTGTTATTGGGATCTCCTTTATAAATAAGAAGATGTGGTATGAGCGCCAATGAGACAACTCTCCATCCAAGTCACAATTTGTAAAAGTAAACCATTTTAGGTCAAAGTATGGCCTTCAACACAGAGACTTGGCTCACACCGAACAGCAAGCTATAAAGGGCCCCAAAATGACTAGTGTAAAAAAATTCAAACAGGAAAACCAACAGTCTAATCTATATAAAAAACGAGAAACGAGAAACACCTATGAACCCCACTAACAACCAACAACCACTGAACAACAGGCTCCTGACTTAAGACAGGTGCATAAAAATGCAGCGGGTTTAAACGTTTTAACAAGCGCCAACATTCACTCTAACCTGCAACAGTAGTGTAGCATTACAACACAAAAAGAATTGGGTTTTTCAACACCTTAATTGACAAATGGATTGTTGTTTAGATTGTTTTTATTGCGTAATCACTCAAATGTGCAGCTTATCTGGAGCTCTGAACAAATGGTCGAGGGACGCAGTTATCGTCGTTCGATTTTCGTCGTCTAAAAATAGAGTCCCTAGTCTGGACAGTGTATAACTTGCAAATTTTTTTCATATACCTTCCAAATATATTGCTTCATATTTTATGCAAAAAATAGTAAGTAGGGGGGGAAATAACATTTAAAAAAAAATTGGGGGCATGAATTTTTAGGTAAAGTAGTGATTTGGTCCATTTTGAAAAGGTTAAAAATTAGTATGTCTGAAGCTGTCAAACTGAATTACAGACCCCCTTAGTATAAAATTGTTCATATTCTGAGGTAGAGCTGATAGACTTTTCTATAATTTTGATATAATTTGTCCCAAAAGTAGTTCACTACACTGTAAAAATCTTTTTAGGATAGAGCAGGTGCGATTTTTTTTATTTGTGTTTTTTTTCCAAAAGAAATGAACTACTAATAAACTGTGTTCTCGGGCCAAATGACCTTTCTGCACTGAAGTGTCCAGATTATATTAACCTGTTCATTCATCAATAAAATTAGCATAATTTTGAAAGGCTTGAATGGAGTGTAAACAATTATTTGGATGTTTAAGATAAATTATGTGATTTTGATGGTCCTTTCAATTCAGTTGACAGTTTTGATTTTCCACTCTCTACACTAAATGTACACTTCCAAACAATATTATCAAACAAAAGTTTTCCTATTTATTTAAATAATGGAAAAACAAAGGATATTGGGTATCCATCCAGGACAAAAAATCAGTACATGCACAGCAAAAATCACACAGAAAGCAAAGGAAATGTGCTTTTATCGCTGTTCTTCATATGAAAGTCACAGTGAGGCCTTCAACACGGAGCAAAAAAATTCTCACAACACTGCAAGTTTTAGTCGGCCCCTATATATAGCACCTGTTTGAGTGGAATTCTTTGCAAAATAATTCTGGTAGACTTTGTAAGATGTATCAATACCAAGTCGGCAATAAAGTGTAATGACAGGTTAAGTAAATTAAGAAATTATTGCCTGCATTTATTATTGCAATTTTTAAAGAATGGACACCAATGCCAGAATAATTATTGTGATTTCAGAAAAATCTGCATACATATATATGCACCAGATATCATAATGCGAGTTCTTATTATTGCGATACATACCCAGTCGCATTATTCGCATTAATAAAAACCTCGCAATAATTTCTGAATTTACAGTAGTTAACTTAGTTAAGACCCTTCTTAATTCCATTTAATTGATATTTATTCATCAACACTTAACATTATCTTGATGATTTTTTTTTTCGTTAAAAGATCAAGAATTCTCTAAAAATACTGGCAAAATTTACTCGAAGGAACAGACTTCAAATAAATCAAACATAAACAGCTATAACTGTCTTTTCCTAGATTTGGATATTTCAGTTTTACATGGGAAACTCTACACAAAAATTAATGACTAAAGAGACGATTTTTCATTCCATTCCTGCTTCTGATCTGTACAAGTACAAAAATATAAGGCAAAATATGTCAAAACGAATTCCTGCATAAACCACATGCATGTGTTAACTGAACACTAATATAAACTTATATATATGCTAATTTTTTTAAATTATCAGATCAAATATAACTTATTATAAAAAAACATAAATAAATCCCTACATGTATGTTCATGAAAAAGGAGGTTCCTATAATAATACTTCAAAAGTTACTGCAATATCTTTATGGAAAAATTTTAAAAGTACAAAAAGTAAATTCAATGTAAAAAG